AAATATAAATATATCGAACAATTTCTTCCTGAATTAGAGAAATTATTTGTTGAAAGTAAGGCTCTTATGTATCCACATCTTCTACCGTCGATACCTTTCAGAAATGGAGTTAAATACAAGAAACCTGCATATTCAAAAGCGGAGGAAACGTAAGTATATTCAAATTTATGTGTTAAAACATTTTATTTTATCTTATTTTGGTATATTGCATTTCCAGTTTAATTGCATTGGGCATAGAGCAGTTCTTACCATTTGTTTCTTCTAAATCAAAAAAATTTCATACAAAAAAAATGCAGTTGTTTGATGCAGTTCAACTTATTATCCATTATCTATTACCATGTAGAGATGCACAAGGATTATTGCATCATATTTATAAAAGACGTGCTTCTAAAGATGAAAATCCAATCAAGGTATATTAAATATTTGTACTGTAAAAATATTTTTGAGATTTATATCATAAATACAATTAAACAAAATTTATTACAGCATTATTTTGAAAAAAGTTGCGCTCCTAAAATAGTACATTACGTAACATCTGAATTTCCGCTGAAAGCTCCAAAGGATCAATCAATAGAACTTTTACCTCTAAAATGGCAAACATATCTTGTAAGTATAACAATTGCACTATATTTATATTTAATAGAAGAAAGCAATAATTTATTGTGTCGTGTTGTATTTACATATTAAATTACACATGTAACATACCTGCAATTTAACCTGTCCCAATCTATTAATATTTAATTATTATAAATATTAATTTCTTATTTATTATTACAGCAGAAAGAGCATAAAAATGATTTGGCAAAAAGTAGATATATATTTGACTCTTATAGTAATCTTTCTCTTGCTAAAGAAGGGATTAATATGAACGCAATAATGAAATCATTTTATCCTAGTATCCCTAATAACCATCTTTTACGAAATCCAATTGTAAATATGTTACCAAAGATATTACCTGCAACTTTAAATCCCAAAGCTCCGTCTAAAATAGATAATTCTACTAAAAAAAGTTGCAAATTCAATAGCGAAGATAAAAAGATAGTTGATAATAGTATACAAAACACGGAAACATATAAAAGAAAAACAGCGGTACATAAAGGACATACAAATTCTTGCTCTTCAAAAGCAAATACTTCAGATGTAGAGCCAATACAAACAGATAAATCATTAAATAAAAATAATATAAAATTAAATACTGTATTAACTAGAAGTTCAAAAATGTCCAAAGAATCTCCGCAAATATCACCACAAATACGAAAGACCACTCCACGATTAGCAAAAACAAAAAGTGCCCAAAATATGAAATTGATGGCACAAGCTTTAGGTTCAAAAAACTCATTTAATTGCAATACCTTAAAATCTAAAGAAAAGGATGCTGCAGATAAGAATATTGATGAACATTGTTCCACATCAAAAGTTGTGAGTTCTATTTTACTTTAAAAAAAAAAGTTGAGTAATATATTTATTCAAATACATTTTTTTCACTTAGGATAATGAAGAAGAAATAGCAGAATTAATGTTAGCCAGTAGTACAATAATAAAAGATTCGGTAAGTAGGAAAAAGGCTAAACAAACTAGAGAATTAGAAATTATTAAAAGATTATTAAAAGCTGAAAATCCATTGACCGAAGAAGAACGTGAAGCAAGTAAGTTAATGAAGTGATTGTATTATAAAATATATCAAATTTATTTTTAATTTATATCTTCCTTTATATAGAATTTGCAGCGTCATATCTTCAGAAACTACACTTGATATTAGAATCCAATGATCCAGAAACGTTTAAGGCTGTGATAAAGTTATTTTTGGATTATAGTGAAAAATTAGACAGTATTAACCATACAGTTACTGACCCATCAATAATTGATGGATCTGAGGATTTTCCAACAAACAAACAGATAGAAGATAATGCAATTAAAAAAGATATACTAACAATCCAATTATATCAAGAAATCTGTAAAAAATTACAAAATTATCCAGAAGTATTCACGGACTTTGTATTATTTTTAAAACCACATCAAGCTGCAATAATTGGTAAATCTGCAGAATATATGATGTTACAAAAAATGAACGATTTTGTTCATGTTGCTCAAATATATTTTGCTAAGCAACCATCACGGATAGCAAAGATGATGCAGGCAATTACACAACTTTCGTCTGATCCACACACAACTTTAGAAAATGTTTATGCCGTTATGAATACTGTTTTTAAAGGTCATCCACTTGTTATGGATTTGTTCTTACAAATTCTACCTACCGCAAAACCTCCCGAAAGGTAATAATTTTTTTATATAAGTGAAAAGTAAATGTGCATGTATTATATACGGTGATTCTTAATTGTATATCAATTCTTTAGGCTATAAATCTAATGTGTAAAACAAGAACAAAATCATATTATTTAAATCGTTTAGACTTTATTTTGCAACGTGTAATAAATAAAAAAAATATCTGAAAGTGACATATAATTAAGAATTAATTCATATAAAAGATACATTATACGTATACGATACAATTTCGTATCATATTTTTATATTATTTATAAATTATGAAATCCTAATAATTAATAGAATTGTGTTTGATATTTTTAGTTTGTTTGCACCTCATATGTTTGAAAATATGACATGTCCATTAGGACCTTATGATAAAAACATAACTTACATGGAAAATGCATCAGAGTTATATGAAAATATAGAATTACCAACAGCAACATATCAAGAGGATCCATATGGTGGGGAGAATTGTAAATGTGATTGTCATAATATTGATGAAGCAAGTTCGAAAAATAATTCTGAACATTGTGTTTCCTGTGGTATACGAGTATGCATCATATATAACAATATTAAATACATAACTTTTATATTTGTTTCCCTTAATATGAATATTCATTCTATTTGTTTCTCTTCTTTTAATAGTTTCTTAATGGAAGAATTTATCTTCAAACACCTGAAGGATTACGACCTGCAAAAATTACATTTGCCGGAGAGGATCGGGAAAAATTAGAAAATATTGCACGAATATCATTAAAAATTGCTGATAAAGCCATTCCATCAATTTCTTCTAAAAAACGGAAATCATCAAAGAATAATTCTAATCACGAGGATCTTTGTAAAAAACAGTGCGCTACAAAATACTCGCCAATAAAAGATAATGAAGATAATGAAAAGGCAATAACAAAGTCAAAAAGAAATGTCAAATTTACACTCAAAACAGATCAAAGAAAAATTTTAAAAAGAATAGGGACTGTAGATCATGCAGTTGCAGATAAAAGAATGCGTATATCCCAGTGTAAGAATAAACGAGAAAAAAAGATTGAAGAAAGTGATGTTTTATTAGAGCAAAATGAACCTGATATTACAAGGCATGAAAAAGCAAATGAATTTACGGAAACTGAAAATAGTTGCTGTACACAATTATCAATGCAAGATAATTTGTCAAGTACTGAAGTAATTGCAAAAACACAAATTTCTTCAAATATAAGCAATAATATTGGTTTTAATTCAAGTAAGTCTTATCTGTGAATTATATTCATAAAATTTGAATAATAACAATTATGATATAACACTCAAATAATGTATCTTTTTTAATTTTGTATAATAATATTTTTTATGTTTAATAGATAAAAATATAGAAACAGTGCTTACAACAGCAACGGAAAATATGTCATCGAAATCTGATTTAACTAATGATAAACCATGGACACGTCAGGAAGATATGATTTTGCTACAAAATATCAAAAAGGAATATTCTGAAAGTTCATTCCTACTGATTAGTGAAAAATTAGAAAATCGTACTGTTGATCAAGTAATATTCTATTTATTTTTAATATATGTATATACAGGATGTCCCAAAATTTGCGCATTCAGAGTATAGAACGTGATACTTTATATGTTAAAACAAACAACTTTTTTCTTTAGCAAAATTTTGTCTGATAAATAATTTTTGCGCTTATTTCTTAACTGTAACCTGCTCTCCTGCAAAAACTACTTGTTAGATGCAATTTTGCAAAAGGAAAAAGTTGTTTATTTTAGCATAAACTATCATGTCCTGTACTCCGAATGCGCGAATTTTGGGACACCCTGTACATTTTTACACACCACACATACACGTACGCACACATATATATATAAAGATATTCCTTATTGTAGGTGAAAGAGAGATGCCAAACTTTGCTTTCTTTACTTCAGAAAATGATGTAAATGTATATATGTGTATATAATGAAATCTGTAATTTGTATTATAATAAAAGTATCAAAAGAGTTGATTGAGCCTACTACTTGTACAGCATAAACTTTGTTATTTGCATTAAATTTTTTTGCATTTAAAATATTTTAATACAAGAAAATGTCATAGATAAAAAGTTCGTAGCACGAACTTCAAAATTCAAGCAGCTGTAATTTTGTTAAAAATCGAAATTTAAATTAAAAGAGTTTCAAATCTTAAATCTCTTCGAAAGATTATTATGTTTTTTAAATTTACGTGAATAATTGTCGAATTTTTTAAAAACAAACAAAAATGAAGTAATATCAAACATTCGTTCCAACTCTATATATTTATTCGTTGAGAGGAGAGAGAGAGAGATTTGATAATGTATCGACAAGTTCTTTCATCTGATTGGCATATTCCTTTAGATCCTAAAATATAGACCAATCAATGAAAGAGCTCACTGAGCGATTGACATTCTGGATGCACCCACTATCTTTCAGTGAGCGCCTGAACGGTTGTAGCACTAAATGCACCCATTAAGTATAAAAGGAACAGGGAATAGAGAACAGAGAATAAAAAAATTTCAACCTATCAGAAACTGTATATTCTACAATATATGATTTCTTTTTGTGCGGAATTCCCTAACTGAATCTCCTTTCGGTTATTAGTTACGTTATGATTAGTCTTTGTACAGTTTTTCTTTGTAACATTTTTTGCTGTAACATTTATAAAATTTACTTTGAACTTGTTAGAAATATAAATTTCTATTCGCCTTATATATATGATAATATAAGAGAGAAAGAAAGAGAGAGACAGAGAGAAAATATATAGGTAATTTTTAATATAACCTTATTTAACCTAAAAGTAAGTAGTTTATATATACATTATTTAAGTTTGCAATTATAAATTATATTTACAAATTTTATGCAGAAATATCAAATTTGAAAAAAAGAAAAAAAAACAATTACATCTATAAGTGAAACTATGTCGCAAGATTCAGTCCGAAAAATTACAAAATCTAATGTGGTATGTAATTTATTATAGAGCTATGACATAACACAATAATATTGTAAATTATATAGTTCTAAAAAATAATAAATAAAATACCAATTTGAGCCGACACTAGTTATTAGTGTGTATTTTAATACCATTTATTCAAAGTGAATATTAAACGTATACGTTTCGACCTACGGTCAAGGTTCTCTTCAGTACAAAAAGATATATTAATAAAATTACATATAAGATTAACTCGGACATCACCAACATTTTTTCTCGCTTTTTATGTTATTAATTTATACTCGTATGCGCTACTATTATGTAATTGTATTACCTTGACTGTAGGTCGAAACGTATACATTTAATATTCACTTTGAATAAATAGTATTAAAATACACACTAATAACCAATGCCGGCTCA